GCAACTTCTATTCAGAATCGGGTAGCGGTCAATAAAATGTTTGTCCTATACAATGAATGAACTGGAACCTGTACATTGCTTGGATATCTCACAGAGAATCGACTGAATCACTTTTTCTTTGCACTACAACAGGTTTGCTTTGTGAACCAAATAACAATGTTTACTCATGGCTTTGAGCAACAAACTCACCGGATACCGACACCGCTCAATAATCCCGACAAAAACTAAACCCTTCCAGCTGGAGTCAACTAGTAAAGCCGATCGTCAAATGGGATGGAACGTCTTATTTATCAGTGCCGAAAATTCAAAATTAGTTTCCAAACCTCAAAGAAATGGAACTCCCCGAAACGAAATCAAGAAAATAAAGTGATCGAGGTGTGTGGAAAGAGAACGATAAAAATCCCGTGAGAATGTCGTGGTCTCTAAGAGATGAACAGATGAGAGTCGCCGGTCAGTTCCACGAGCAGGAAGAGCACCTGGTGCTCACGTCGGAAAATGTGTGAGATCAAATTTCTCCCTTCGTTACGAGCTAATGGACAAACACGCAGACTACGTAGAAGAAGTGACTGTAGCAGAGGGAAGCTTCGCCATCTAAAACCATGTTTTTCTTTCCTATTTATATTACTTATATTTACCGTTTTACACCGACTTTATATATTCAGGCTAGTTTTAAATTCTTTACTTATTCACTATGCTTCTTTTCACCTCACCGTCAAATTCATAGCAAAATAGGTAGTCACTTTACAGGTGAGTTCCTATCGAGGTTATACCCGAACCCCGTTTCTAATCAACCTTTTTATACCTATGGATTTTTGTTTATATATCTTCTGACTATTGGATAAAAACGTAAAAAAAATAGTCAACGGAGAGTGAATGGATATTTTTGACTACTGCACTCAATGTATTAATCGAAGAAGAAAACGAGGAAGATGAAGACAAAGAGTCTAGCCAACAAAGTAATATTACGTGATAAAAGGTGATAGTGAATTGTAAGAAGTGATACTCACAAGGCTCACTATGAACTCTACGAGCGACTGCGAACTACATAATTGCACTGGTACAGAGTGTATCGAAAAACTAAACGGACGAGATGGATAGGACATCGATAAATACGATAAATGATAAGAAATGATAAAGTATTACATAGAAGACAACGGCATGATCAGATACCCCAAAGCGATAATAAGTGATTAAGAATTATAATATGTAAGACAAGGTGAAGAATGAAGGATCTACCATGCTCCTTGAGACTTGGAAAGTGTTTCCGCAATTTTTCTAATAGAAAGCAGCAGAGAAACTGTCCTAAATATAGAACGGTGGTGCCGATGAAGATGTAGCAGGGCAGTAAGCAGCTGGAGGCGTCCACCGGTCGTGTGCGTTATAATATTGCGGCCCGTATCCAGTTCGACGTATGGCTTCCGCATTATGCTTAACAAACGACGACAACGACGAAGACGACGACGACGGCGGCGGCGGCGTCGAGCAAGCAAAACCGTTGCTATCATACACAAAAGCTTCCCGATAAAATGACGGGTTTGCCGGTTTTCCTATGAGAGTGCTAAGCTTCAAAAACATCTGCAAGACTTCAAAGCCCATTGGCCATTAGTCGAAGAAGTGGAAACCGACGTTGAAATCAAAAAGATGAACTCATTTTGCAGCTAATAAACACCGTTTTGGATGTTTTTCTTACAACGGAGTCCCAATCAGAATCGCAATGGAGTCTGTATGGATATTTGTCCCACAAAATGGCTTGCTGGGGTTAGTGATGTGCAATCGCTTCTATCCACCACAGACGAGTCTTCCACCAACTCACCTACCTACAGGGATGGAGACCTCGATTCACCTGATTGATTGACCGACTCTTCTGTCACGGAACTGTAAGCCTCGCTAGTAGGGGACCTTGTCGAAGTCACTAAATATTGAAAATGAGAAAAATCAACTTCGGACAACAACAGCCGCCTTCCCACCAGGGCAGGATTCGGCACAGCAGACGGTGTAGGTAGTGCAGTGCAGTAGTGCAAGGACATTAACTGCCAGCGCTCATCCTACTTTTTCTCCTCCATCATCCAGAGGCATTTTGAACAATAGTAAGAATAGTAGTAAATTGTGGAACCACTATTTCAAATTAATTTACAGATTTCAAAATTATTCATTTATTTATTCATTCATTCATTTACTTTCACTTTTTCATTTCACTGAACTAATTTGGTTCAAAAACTTCGGCAACGTTTTGCTCAAATCGAAGTTTCCCCATTTCTAACAGACAATACTGCTTATTTTTGAAGACTTTCGATTTGACCCACTTTAAAGGAAAGCAATGGTTTGATCCCACGAAATGAGTAGTATGCCAAAACCAGTTTAGTTCTACCAAAGCCGATTAATCCAGTGTTTATCTATAGATATTATGACTAATTGGAAACAAATATGAAAAAAAGAAGCAGTGAAAACTGAACCGAGTCATATAAAAAATTTTCGATTGGAAAATTTCATATGTCTTCTATTCAGCAAGCAAAGCAAGTGAACAATTTTTGCATGTTGAAAAAATCATTTACTGAGCCATTTGGAAGGAGGTCTGCCCAGTAATCGTCTATACTTGAGTTACTATTCATTCTGATAAATGCATTCATTCTTATGATATTCCATATTCCAGAAAAAGTCAGATACATGGCTTACCCCAGAGAAACTGTACTACACCAAAGCCTTTCTTTATGATAGCAGATCTCCTTTCTGAAATTATATGACTACAGCCATGAGTTTTTATCCTGCTCTCGTCATTTCAAACATTTTCAAATCGAAACTTTTCCGGGCCAAAAAAAAAGGGAATTTTAACAGAATTCGAGAAAAATGCATTAATATACTTATCGAAAGAATGTAGATCGATAAATTATAGAACTGACTATTACTCTGGAGTTACAAACACGCAAGGCATTAGGAACTGGCAAGATAAGATGAGCTTATGTATAACCGTACCATCCTTGAACCATTCCTCTCTGAAAATCTTAGCAATCCCATCTAAAACAGTGGTAGTTTCCACATTGTATCATATCACATCATAACTGATCATATCATATTATATCAACCAGCGCTTCAATTCCACTCCTATGGTTAGTCAAAGTTGAAGTAGGGCGTACGTGGTGTAGAGGTAAACGAAACTCTATCACACATGCATAAACCGAATTTCAAATCCCGGAACGATTTCCGCGTGGGCTGACGAGGCCCTCCATCTCTCCGGGCTCGTCATTTGGTACCAGATTCGTCTGGGAGCACAAAAGTACTGACTTCTACAGCGGTGGCCATCGCAATTCATTGTATAGGCCACATACGCATTCAACACGCCATTACTATTCCGAAAGTCAAATGCGGGGCGCATCTCAAAAGGGGATTGA